GAGAGAGAGAGAGAGAGAGAGAGAGAGAGAGAGAGAGAGGGTAGATCTTTCCGGGGTTGGGGGGGGGGTTAGGGAGGAGGGATCTGCTTAACAACAATCACACAATGTCTGGGAATAGGAATAGGAATACATCACTCAGAGTTAGTCTCAACGACTCAGAGTACGTCACAAACACAAAGAAAACTCCGTGAATAGACGGATATATATTCAACGAGTAACAATTCAGGTATCCACCATTCCGTCCTCAACCCAAGAACCGCCGTCAATCCCTGAACCAAACTTCCGCTGGGGGGGGGGGTTAGGGAGGAGGGATCTGCTTAACAACAATCGCACAATGTCTGGGAATAGGAATAGGAATACATCACTCAGAGTTAGTCTCAACGACTCAGAGTACGTCACAAACACAAAGAAATCTCCGTGAATAGACGGATATATATTCAATGAGTAACAATTCAGGTATCCACCATTCCGTCCTCAACCCAAGAACCGCCGTCAATCCCTGAACCAAACTTCCGCTGGCATAGACTACCATCGTCCGGACAATAGCAGTCATGCCAAGCGTAAGACCTGAGAGGTCGTCATCACTAAACATCTACGTACTTATACGACAGCAAACTTAACATCTCAAAGCGAAACTTCCGGAAGTACCAACCGACAAACTTGCAGGGAGAATATCCCAAAATTTTCATAGGGTACGTTTCAAATCCAAGAAAGCAGAGGAAATCGTACCAATGTCAATGTACTTCCGACCAGGTACTGGTTTCGAGGCCTGTAGTCGGCTATCCAAGCTACAAGATAATACAATAGGTAAGAACTACGGGTATCTCCAGATGCGTCAAGAGTTGAGTCCCACTATCGACAAACCAAGTCCCGCTATTGGCTATCCAAGCAACAAAATAAGGCATGTAGGTACACATAAAACGGGCTACTCGCGGCACGTCACCGATTCAAATCTCGATTACCTAATAAAGTAACCGAGGCGAAAGGTGCGACCGTTAGTTAATCGACATAGAGGCAGGCACAGCAAAAGGTGAAAATACGAGAAAGGAAAAGGGAAGGAAAAACACCTGTCGCTATCCAATATGATCGTAATCATCAAACAAACCCTGTCCGATATGTATCAGAGTGGTTCCTATACCTAACACTAATTAGAACAAAGCAACGAACAACAAACTCACAATAGATATCGAACAGGCACAGCAAAAGGTGAAAATACGAGAAAGGAAAAGGAAAANTAACACTAATTAGAACAAAGCAACGAACAACAAACTCACAATAGATATCGAACAGGCACAGCAAAAGGTGAAAATACGAGAAAGGAAAAGGAAAAGAAAAACACCTGTCGCTATCCAATATGATCGTAATCATCAAACAAACCCTGTCCGATAGGTATCAGAGTGGTTCCTATACGTAACACTAATTAGAACAAAGCAACGAACAACAAACTCACGATAGATATCGAACGGTGAATTCCCAAATGTCCCCTCGTTTCACAGAAAAGCGTTTCAGAACACGCATGAAGAAGTCTTTCGGAAAGTCTTTTAGTACAAGGTCGGGCCAGAGCGAGCAGACCACAGCGATCTATCTATCGCTGTAGTCCTCCAGAGGCCTGTTTATTTAAATAAACTGTGCCCCCATTTCTATTGTATTTCAATTAACGCTCACCATACATAATAAGAAAGATACTTGATGGAGACTTCCAACAAGTGCCCCCAGGCTCTTTTAATTACACCATGTCAGCCCAGATCGCCTACGGATGGGGGGAAGGGGAAGGGAGGAGCGATCTGCTTAACAATAATGACACTCTTTGGATCTGCTTAACTATATTGGCACTCTTATACTTGATGGGGACTTTCAACAAGTGCCCCCAGGGTTTCTTAATTACACCATGTCAGTCCAGATTGCGTACAGAGCAGTCGAAGTGAATAAAGAAAAGAGCACGAATCTAGGCTACTACGCTTCGCTACTGTACCTCCCTTCATTATTGTGGGCGTAGCCGCAACGGGTCCCCTGGTTTTTATGATGTTTGTATTATGAGCCGGCATTGTTTGTTGTGAAATTTTCAACGACATTGTTTGTGGTGATGTGATGAAAAACACTGAATTTTTGGCCTTCCATTAACCATCTCTCGGGACTTTCCTCTTACTTTGATTTGTTTGTGTTATCCTTATTTACTTGCCGTGTGCAGGTAAGGCTTGGGGAAGAGGGTTGGAAGGAAAGATATTACCGGGAGAAGCTTGGAGCAACGAACCCGGAACAGATGGAGGAGATTCGCAGGGATGTGGTAAGGGCCTGTGTGACCACCTGTTTTATCTTGAGCAAAACAGCCTCATTTGTCAAACACTCCGTGGATCAACTATTGTTGAGTAGAGTCGTGGAATGTAAGTGTGAAGCATTCAGAATTTCAGAATCCAGTTGGAAAATCTACGAGGACCTGACCACATTCGTGGCTTGTGGAATTGAGTGGTTGCTGCTGTCAAAAACTGAATTGTCTGTGTGTGTGTGTGTGTGTGTGTGTGTGTGTGAGAGAGAGAGAGAGAGAGAGAGAGAGAGAGAGAGAGAGAGAGAGAGAGAGAGAGAGAATCAGTGGGCAGGCACACAACATATATACAGCAT